AACATGAAAGAATGGAGGCAATAAAAATAAAAATCTGTTGCCTTCTTTTTGTATAAGGGTTCATGTTAAAACCAAGGAAAACTCATGCTGGAGACTTTGATGCATAGTTCAAAAATAAACCTTGCATAGAATAAATAACTATGAGTCATAGTAGATTATACTAGATGGAAAGTTTGTGCCTTGTTGAAGTTCTTATAAAAGAAATATGCTCTTACTGAATTCAACTTAGATCTCTTTTAAATAGTAAGTGTAGTGATATTTTACAATTTCACACACTGATACTCTGAAACATTTTATATTTCTAAATCCAAGTTATTTATCACCTCTAGCCATGGCAATTTGATACAGTACCCTCAATAAGTTATTTAAACAATATTTTGGGTTTTGAAATATTGTCTATGGGGTCTTCTTTCAGTGTAATACCCACAACAGTTTTCTATAAACTCTGCAACTTTACCAGTCCAGAGAGGAGACTTCAGTGTAATGATGTTCAGCACTGCAGCATTTACAGACGTTCCTTTCAACCTTTGTGTTATTATGCAACCTCTGCTGAAGACTTTTTCTCTTGGCAGCTATAGGTCAGATTTTCATTGAGCATCCTGCCCTGTCTGTGAATGTGTGCTATTGATACATAGATTGTGCTGAGGGTTTTGCTTTTTACATTTTTACAGATGACACAGATACTCAAGCGGGGTGCCTTTAAAGTCTGGAAATTGGTTAGGAGACTTATGTGAAAACCACAAATTTTTCCTATGAGTCTAATTGTGACACTTTGCAGAAAGTTTTTCTTTATATAAGAAAATTTTACATTTTGTAGTTCTATTTTGATGAATGTTCTATAGATTTTTATGTGTACAGATTGGTATTTTTAGTGTCATTTATATAATACAGATAATAAAAAATTGATCCTCATATAGTTTAATTAATGCATTCAAAAATTGGTTCATTCATTATTTTTTCTAGAAACAAATATTCTTTCCAGTTTTATAAAACATTTCTTGGTGCTTTTGTAGTCAAAAAAATCATTAGATCCTCTCTAATGAAGTAAAACTAATCTGCCATTTAGAACTGTTAGTCTATGAGCATGTACTTCAAAATATAATTTTGTCCTTCTTAATAAAAGTTATGGTTTCTTATCTTCTTTAGCAGCTCAGCTTCTCCTTGTATTCCTCTAAAATTATGTGATTGGAAGCACAAATTGTCTTATATTCATTAAAATTACTATTTTTTTTCTATTTCCAATGTAACACTGTGTTTCTAGGGTCAAAGTTTTTTAGCACCAGTCCACATGTGGGCTCTCAGGAAAATTAGGCTGCATTAATGAAAACTGTGAATTTAGAAATCAGGGATGTTAGCTCATTTTTTTTTCTCAGTTCATTGAATAACCCAAACTGAAGCTGCTTAATTCAGAAGAAATTTTAATTTTTGAAGTGTAGTATTCCACACAAAAATTTAATGAGGCAGCCCAGTTAATGCCTACCTGCTATGAGTGCTTCTGTGACAACTCTCTGTGAAAAAAGACTGAAGCAAAACCCAGTGAAAAGGACACAGGTACACCCATGTATGCCATGCTGTAGCCTTAGTAAATGATCCAGTCAAGCACTAATGTGAATAGTCACATCCAAATCTGAAAGGCTTTCATGCTCATGGAGCACCTAAGATATCAGAAATTATTATAACAGATCAAAGCAGCTGAAATAAATTGTTACAGTCATGCAACAGAAGACTGTTCAGATTCTTCCTAAAAACATGCTTTATACATATGAGACAGAGAGAGGAAATAGGAAGCATAAAAGCCAGTCCAATCTCACAATGAGTTGTCGTCCTTTCAGAATAAACAAGATATCTCTGCTGCCAGCAAGACCTTCCTTCAAACTTTATGCATATTTGAGAAAATCCCTTGGTTGGAGGGGTTGCATTCTAGTGTACTGCTGTATAATAAGATGTAGCTTCTCTTCCTTAGTCTGAGGAGTGAATCTCTGTCATGTTAAACACATTTGTGTCTTACGTTAGTAAGAGCTTGCCATGTTGAAACTTGTGTTATTCCTGATCTTACACACTCTGGGTATTTGTGTGAAGAAATGCATGTCTGAATGGGCCTCTTGGCCTCTTTTTCAGTGAAGAGATAAATGAACCCTTGTAGGATGCAATTAGTTTAGTCTTCCAAATAGCTGGATAGAACTTCCTATAAGGACTTTTTCTCCCCTTTGTAAAGGGTATCAGTCTAAAAGTACTGGTAGAATTTATGTTATAGAATGTTAAAATACCTAGTAACTCAAGCTAATACAGAGTATCTATGCTGAGACAAAAAACCAAAATAACCTCAAGACTAAATATTACAGGTGGTAAACTGATCCAGAGCAGCCATGTCTAAGTGTTTGTGATATTTCACTTGAAAACTAGGTACCCATATTTATCCATATACTGCATGTAATATCATATAATACTGTTGATCTGTTTTTGCTAGTACTGATCTTCTGGTCTAAGTGATGTATTAGGCTCACTGAGCTAAACTGTATAAATTAATTACACAAGAAAAAGCATCAGTTTAATTCTTCCTCAGTACTATAGGTCAAGGATGGAACATATTCTTGAATAAGGCACCAAACCTTGCGTTTCACATAGTTTCTCAAAGTTTCAGTTTAAATGTAAGATGAAGTTGGGAACAGATTTGGAGAGAAGTAGAGTGTTTATGAAAAGAAGATTAATTTTCCCTGTTTCCTTAGCCTGTTTTCACTGTGGGTGATATTGTGCTATCTAGAACTCCAAGTTTTAAGTCTTCATCCACAGAATCACAGAATTACAGAATGGGTCAGGTTGGATGGCACCACAGGGGTACCTCTGGTCCAGCCTCCCTGCTCAAGCAGGGTCCTCCCAGAGCACATGGCACAGGACTGTGTCCCGACAGTTCTTGAATATCTCTAGTGAGGGAGACTCTGCAATCTCTCTGGGCAAGGTTCAGTTCTTACAAACAGTTATTATAAACTGTTATTAACAGTTCTTAAAGTACTTCTTATAAAGTGCTATAAAAACCTGTGTGTTCATGTCATTTTTGAAAATATGACAATGACAATATTTGAGAGATGCTTATGTTCCTGTATAAAATAGGTTCCCAGCAATCGTTATTTTAATATGCCTCACTGGCATACCCTGATGTCTTTAAAACATCTGAATCACACATTAGTACAGCAGTTATAAATGAAGTAACATGTTTTATGTTACATCTCATAAAAATACATTTTTTTCATTGTTTAGTTAAGTGTTTCTGGAATCTACAAAGCAGGGAAGACAGCTAATATTATTCAGCACAAACACTAAAACAACTTGCTCTTTTCTACTTAAGGAAGAAAAGTATATAAGCAGTGCCTCCTGAAACCCTTGAACAGAAGATGTTTAAAATAAATAAAAACTAATTTAAAAATCCTAACAATGTTTTTGATTTAAGGATGTCTCATCTTGCAGTGAAAAGTATTAAACATTGTCAGTTAACACATTGCAATTTCTGAATGGTTGAAGAACAACACTGAATGGTGCTGGCAGGCTAGACAGCAGCTAATGGAGAAAGGTATCATTGTAAAGGGTTTTTGAACAAGAATGTCTAAATAAATATAACTGGCCCTGGATGACATATATTTCTAGTACAGGAAGGTTTTTACTGTGATCAAGCCCAACAAAATCTCAGATTAGAAACACTGCCATTCAGCCTTTTGACAGCACACACTGTATTTGCAGAGATACACAGCAATCATTTAATCTCAAATAAATATTTTAATATAGAGAGAATTAGTTTTTCAAACAAGAATTTTTTACCAATCAGTTCAAGAGCTGATAGCTAGGCTCTGCTCTCTCTCTGTAATTTTAATTGCTTAGTAAAGGAATATATTTATAGTGAAAAAGAGTTTAATCAAACAGCCAGAAGTTGTTTATTTGCCTTGACACCTGTGAAGAATTTAAAATGAAAATTATTTCAGCTTATGTTTCAGTCAATATATTTAATTCTTTTGTATTCATATGTTAACAATGCCATGTTTGAGTGTACAAGGAAGTGTACAACTTCATTTTTTTGGGGTGAGATTCAACTGACATCTATAGCTATGCAAACATAGGCATCTGATTTGGACTTCTTGAGTCTGTGCAGTCAGTGGAGTGAGCCACATCCTACTTAGTGCTAGTGAACTGGCTGTTTCTAACCTCTGAAATCACTTGGGAGTGTGCAGCATGGAGTGATTGCATAGCTTAGATCATATGAGTCTTGTCCTCAAAGTCATGTAAGGCTGATGGTAAAACATTTGCACCCTGAGGGAAGATTGTCATGGTTTAACCCCAGCCAGCAGCTGAGTTCCATGCAGCCACTTGCTCATCACCTCAACAGCAGGACTGGGACAGAATCAGAAGGGTAAAAGCTAGAAAACTCAAGGGTAGAGATAAAGACAGTTTAGTAGAGAAAGCAAAAGTCACACTCACGAGCAAAGCAAAAGAAGGAATTAATTCACTGCTTTTTGTGGGCAGGCAGGGGTTCAGCCTTCTCCAGGAGAGCAGGGCCCCATCACATGTTAACAGTGACTTGGGAAGACAAAACTTCATCTCTCCAAACATCCCCCCTTCCTTCTTCTTCCCCCCCACTCTACATACTGAGCATGATGTCCTGTGGTCTGGAATATCCCTTTGGGTCCCCTGTCCTGGCTATCTCCTGCCAACTTCCCATGCACCCCAAACTTCCTTGCCATCATGGCAGTACAAAAAGCAGAAAAGGCCTTGACTCTGTATGAACCCTGCACAGCAATAACAAACACATCTATATTATCAAACCTGTGTAGCACAAATCCAAAACATGGCCCCATACCAGCCACTGTGAAGAAAAATAGCTCTACTCCAGTTAAAACCACCACAATTAAGAGCATATTTCACAGCCACCAAATGGAAAGTACAGAAATGGGTCCCTTCTAACCTGTGCCTCAGGGATCTGTAGTTACAAGTGCACCACTGTGCACCACCCTTAGATGTTATCAGAAGGTAAAAATACCCCAAGTTTCCTGGACTCCAGCTAGAGCTCATTGGTTTGCTGTTCCCTGCTGCCTTTCAGGTTCCTCTGGGCTCTGAATTCCTCTGTAGAGAGCGCCTGTGTGGCAGATGCCTCAGCAGTGCCATTGGAATGGTTCACAGTGGTAGGTGCAGCACACACGATGGGTCAAGCAGATGCTCACGACAAGAAAAACTCTGGTATCAGCTGTGTACACAAATTGTACTGGAATACATGAAGAGAAGCCATATGTAAAAAGATCATACAGTTGTTCAGATGAGCAGTTTTCTCTAATAATTGCATCAATCCAAAACATTTTAACTGTTTGGGATTTACACAGCCTTTTTTTCCCCTCCTTTTTCCAAAAGTATTAAAAAGACCTTGAATAAAATAGACTATCATTTCATAGAAACAGAACAAAATCTTTCTCTTTCTCAGAACAACTCATGTCCTAGAAAAACATCTCCTAGTAGTGTAGGCAGTGTATGAAGTTAATTTTTCTCATTTATATGTGTGATTGAAATAATTCTGAACTTATGCATTTAAACTTGTGTGGATGTGAGAATAATGCTCCATCACCTTCACCTGTCTTCTGGCAATTAAGAGGTACAGATACATACTGTAATTATGTTGTAGGGAATTTTGTCAGAGAAAATACATTCTGTATTTTCAAGAAATCAGATAGTATTTTTAGGTTTTTTTAAATCTTATTTGTGTCTTACATTATCTTGCTACTACTTCAAATTTCTTTAAAAATAATTCATTATAAAAAAATTGCAGAACTGTAGTCATGATGCATATGCAAAAGCACTTATGAGAAGTCAGCTTTAGTTTCCAGCATGTCTAGTGGTAACTTTAGTTTACATTTCATTACATCATTCCGATCAAAAAGAAACAAAAAATTGGGTGGGGCCTATGTTAATACTTGCTGAACTGCACCAAGTCTGATTAGCCCATGATCAATTACCTGTGTTCAAAGGTGCCTTCCCCCCCCCGTGTTCACAGCATTGCAAAGTGAAACAGCAAAAACTCCCTTGTTTTGGTGGTCCTGCGGAGAGAGCTCTTCTGTCTGTTGCTGTATCCTGCGTTGCCACCCAGTGGAGAAGAGTGTAACTTCTGGTCACAATCCAAAGGTGAGACGCTTTATCACAGAATCATAGATTGTCCTGAGTTGGAAGGGACCCACAAGGATCATCGAGTCCAACTCCTGGTCCTGTGCAGGACACTCCAAGAATCACATTGTGTGCCCAAGAGTGTTGTCCTAACACTCCTTGAACTCTGGTGCTGTGACCACTTCTTACCCCCTGCACAGCAGCCCTTTGTTCTGCAAGCAAATACTTGAGGGTGGTCTTTTTGGGAAAACATGGATTGCTTTTGTTGTTTTCACTTGCTCTGGTGTTTGCCCCTTCTCTGTACATATTTGCTGAGTTTGGCCGGTGTGCTAAGGCCACATAACATGGAACAATGATGTACTTCCATTTACATTAATGTAAAAACTGATCAACGTGAACTGGATCAGAGCTGTGATTTACAACAGCGCCTCATATTTTTGGAAAAAATTATCTTATTTTCTACTTCCTTTAAGTTATGCCACGTGCTGTTAAAATCTCTTTTAATACAAACATCTTTTAGCCTTAGCTATGTTTAAACAAGCAGCTCACAACTTTGAGGAAAGAAAAACAAACCACCCAAACTCCAAACCTGTTTTTCACTTCATAATACTGAATTTTCTGACTCATTCTGTACTTATTTCATCGAAGTGTTTGCAACTGTTGTACAAAGCTAATATAGGGAAGTTTTGGCAGCCGCTGGTATTTAAGTGGTGTATCATAAGGAAATACTATGAGTGTTTAGCAAAAGGAGGACAGAAGAGAAAGCTGAATTAGAGTACAGAAAAAAAAAAAAAGGAAGTGCACTGGTGGACTCTGAGGAAGAGAGATATATGGATGGATAGAAGACAGTGACTAATAGCTTCTGTGTTAGAAGCAATCCCTTAACAGCTGTCACTTTGCCCTGGTCCACAACCCCAGCAGTGTCCAGAGGAGACCAATTACAAATGGAGAAAGATATCTGGTAAATCCTTTGGTTTTGGAAGTCTGTAGTAGGCTGTTGCTGTGACAAAAGCCAAGTTACCAAGCAAACAATCTCAAAGAATGCTTCCTTTCTTTAGAAAGATTAAAAGCAACAGAAGCTCAATGTCTTCAATTGATCCTCATATTTTCAGCTGAAAAGAACCCTCCTTATCTAGTCTGCTACCTGGTATCTCAAATTTTTAGTTTCTTCCTCCAAAGACTTTTTCAAGTGTGGGAAGGAGAGGAGGGCAGGGCTGATATTGCCCACAAATCACTCATGGAGGGTTAAAACTTCTTGTGAGATATTCTGTTTCTTTAAAGCCCTCTTAACATTAGCTTTCTCCTTTTATCAGTCTTTTACTCATGAAACCAGGTTGTAGCAGATAAGGCAGAAATTTGGGAGAATATAAAAACTATGTCTCTGTATTTTTCTCATTGTCTGCAGTGTGAATAAAGATAACAAAAAATATGCTATTATTTATAATTTTCAAGGTAAAAATATGCATAAACTGCTGCAGTTCAGGATTCCGATGGGAAGAAGAAAGATAATATTTTTTCACCATGTGTGTAGAATTTCTTTTGTTAGTCTGGTCTCAGAAGCACAGAAAAGCTTGCATTAGGACAGGAATATGTAGGAATATTAGGAAAGGAATAATACCTCTGGAATTGCTGGTACAAGTTCTGTAACAAGTCAAGGCCCTAGATTAGTATATTCAGGACACTGGCAAGCTAAGTAATGTTTCCAATGGCTGATATTTCACTAATTTTTGTAGCAGCCTATTCCGATGTTCAGCTGCTTTTTCTTTCCATATGTCTAGCTGCTTTTTCTTTCCATTTCTTTCCATAGCATTTCCCATAAGCAACTTGTGCACGTTAGCTCTTGTTCCATCACTGTGCATCCTTATGAAAAGATTATACCCTCCTTCTCTGTACCTATAATTAGTTATTTTTATAAATTGTGTGGGGAGATCCCCTCTCAACCTGGTCTTTCCCAGGCTGAATAAACCCAATTCATGCATCCTCTCTTTATATGTGAAGTTCTCCAATTCTTTTAATATCTTGGTGTCATCTTAATGGATTCACTTTTCTTTTCAGGTCCATAAAGGCCCATATATAGCTGTGACATTTGCAATTACAGTTTTGGTTTGTGTTATATCCTTTTTTTCTTCCCTTCAATGCTCTGTCTTAAGTGTAGGTTGGGCAAGGTAACAAAAACACACTCTGAAATTCACTGCTCATCCTTAAAATGACGTCTGTCACTTTGGGTATAGATTTGAGTGTTTTTCTAAGATCAATCATTTTGTTATTCTATTTTATTTATTTTCTGGAACTAGTTACATCATTATTCAGCCTTCAGACTATTTTTATTCTTATATATTCTTTAAGATTGTATCCTATACAATCAAAGGTGTGTAAATTGTGGCCAGATATTATTAATGTTTGATATACAGATGTATATAACAAATGATTAATAGAAAAATAAACAGTCAACAGCTAAGACTGGGGAGAGTTTTCAAACTAGATAAAAAAATCCCACCTATTTTAAATCTTGAATATATGTGCAGAAACTGGAGAGGGATTAATTTCTCCTAAATTATGGACTTTTTACTTTCTTTTTACTTGAAGAATCAGATACAGCAGCATTTTAATTTGTATCAGGAGTGTGCTTTTGACATAAATCTCTCAGTCATCTCTAGTTACTTCAGTTCATGTTGTGAAATAGTCTTGGGCCAAATAAACGGGATTCCTTTTAGATGAAACTAAACAGTAAGACGTGCCTGAAAATCACATCTAACACAGCCTGACTACTAATGGGCATTCAGTCTCTTGGGATTAAAATAGATCTAATCAAGTATTCTCTCTCCCACAGATATCTGTAGTGTAGATATTGAGCCCTAAGCATCAAGTTCTGACATAAAAAAAAAAAAAAAAAAACCCAAAAAACAAACTGTAAATTAGTGGTTACATAATTTAGCTACTTGCTAATATTGGACACAACTTGGCTTGTTATGGCTCACCCCAGGGAGCTGTGCGTGTGTGTTGGAGGAAAGGAGACTGGTAGGAAAAGAAATGTACAAAACCTGGTAAACCTGGGCACATGAGGTGAATAGTCTGGATTTCAATTTAAAAAAAAAAAAGGAAGGTCAACATGTGATATATTTGTATTCAGCCTATATTGCCTGTTCATTATTTTAAGACTCATTACTTTAATGGATTATATAACAATTAGCATTCTTTTTTTAAAAAGAACCTTGTTGACGCTTGTATTGAGGAGGGAATTGTTAAATTATGTGCTTGATATAAAGCACATAAACAATCTTGTGATTGTTTGAAATAATTATGTTTATAGCAACACAAATCTCTAATGAGGCATGATGAACTGGGGCATCTACTTCAATGGAGGAAAATAAAGTGAAACACTTTTCCTCCAAACAGAGTACATGCTCTGTTGTTTCAGTGGGACAATCATGTACAAAGCAGTGTATTGGGATGTTTTTCAGCCTTAATTGCCCTGTCAGTTACAATTAGAGGTGTTAATGTAACTGTGAAATGCTACAAATTACTTGCAGCTTTTGCTCCTTATGCATTCTCAGGCTGTCTTGCACAAAAGGGTATCAAAATGACCGAGATCTCTTGCTGAGCCTGTTATTAAGGTTTCCTTGTTCTGCTCCCTGGGTACAGTTATTCACTCAGTGTGGATTCAGTATTATGGGTGTAAAGATGCCTGTAGCAGAATGGATCCTTTTAACTTAAAGGGAAAAACGTTCGTGTATTAGGCATTTCTTCTGAAATACCTGGAACTATAACAGCAATTTTTATAGCTGTACTGGTTAAAAAATTACAAGTTTTGCAACCAAAGTTGTTATTGGCGTGAAATCATATAATTTTCAAGATCTTACAGGTGCTTACTGATTTATAGG